AGTTAAGTAAGTTCAGTGTATCCTATAGCGTGAAAAACTTCTGGCATAATCGGAAAACTGGTTGGAATTTAGTTTTTGTTATGAACTACTTTTGTTCATTCTGTTAGTTTCTTTTATTTGGTTTCCAAAGAAGCCATTTGATTTCAATTTATAAGTTACGAAAACAAGTATTTTATTTGAAGAACTATTGTATTTTTTCTTTCTTTCGTTGAATTTTTCGATTGGTTTTGAACACGATTTACATGACTAGATAACTTTTTGCTAGAAAAAAGCAAATGAATGAGAAGAAATTGAGTAATATATGAAGAAGACTTTTGAATTTCAATTCAACTATTGGTGAAGAAAGTAAGATTCAAAGGTACATTACAGGTCGATGGCATGAGGATTAACCATTCTCCAGTTTAATACCGAAACTGAACAAACGCCGGAAAAACAACTGATGAAGCATATTTTGAGAGATGGTGCTGATAAACAATCAGGGATTCCGACGATCTCATTAGCATCGCCTCTGGTCAAGCATACTGTTTTGAGCTGAATTGTTCTCCTTTTAATAAGTTATACAGGAGGTGGCGTAATGAAAATATTTTGTATTTTCACGGATATTTTTCACTGTGATACCCTAAAAGCAGTTCGACTGAGCAAGTAATTCCTTCTCTATAGATATAAATCTACAGAGAACCATTTTACTTCTAGTCACGCTCACGGGAATATGTTAGGTGAGCTTTCACTTTTGTTGGAGGTTTTTATTCTACCTAAAATATGCTGTCCACGTTAACCCAACAAGATGGTACAAGTTCGACATTTCTAAGTATAGCCTTCAGAACATTCTGAGAAGTGTCTATTTGTTGTCAGTTCGACAAATACAATTTTGTCCCAGCAATAAGTTACGAAGAGAGGAAATTTGAAATCGAATGCAATCGAATACTTCGAAGATTCATCTATGATAAGTCACGCATTACAGTCGTAACTCCCATTATATATATATATATATATATATATATATATATATATATATATATATATATAAAGACTGTAATCCGTGAGGATGATTTAGCTTGAATAATGGGAGGTTGAAATAATAATAATGGTGATCATAATAATAATGTTGCTGGCTGTTGAACTGAACACTGAATGATAACAAAAATGCTTATGTGAAGTTTTTATATCGTTTATAGGGTGTATATAGATTACAAAGAAGTAAAAACATGGTACAGTTAGTAAACAATCAAGTACTAATGAATGAGACAGGTTGATTGAAATAAATTGAAAAGGTCTTGTTAAAAGTTCAATTATTAGGAAAACCAAATGAAGCAACATCGGAAACTATTAAATGTTAAAATAAAAAAGATAATGACGATACAATAGTACAAAGACTAATCTGACAGGAGGGGAAGTTTGAAAAACATCATCATCGGAACTAAACTTCACAATAAAAATACATCTCATCAATTGCTCTCTCAAGTAGCTTGTTGGAATTCAATACAATGGCAAATGATCAGGTAATATCTAAGGAAAACATAACTTTACTGGTGGTGTCAACATCCTTAATGTTATCAATGAACTCAAATGTATCACGAACAGAACAACGGATGACTTGATTTCTACCTGGTTTCAGTATTTCAGGTAATCAATGATAAGGAGAACTTGACATATCCAAAATCGGGCGAAAGGGTTAATCCTGCTTTATGCATTTTCTGCAATTCATAGAGACGTGGAATTAGTGAACCACCAACATTATCATTGCAATCACCATTATTATTATTTCAACCTCCCATTATTTAAGTTCGATGTTCCTCACGGATCGCAGTCTTTAAATATCATATACATATATATATATATATATATATATATATATATATATATATGGCATTCACTGAATAACAATAAACATAATGAATATTGCAAGAAATAACCAAAACTGTTTTCTTTCATCTAAAAGGTTGACCTTGTTAAGGTTATAAATTCATACTATCCTCTTGAAATTTACCACGTCGGCGGAACAAACTGGAACCTGTCCAACCAAGGTACCAACTTTAATTCTACGTTAGGCTTGTTTATTTGTTACATCACACAGTGATATAGTATTATTAACCTGATGACGTTTGCAGCATAAATTATTGCTCATAATCTTACTGCTATAATCATACAGCAATGACTAAGAGATCAAATGAATAAGCCAAAATAGCAGATAGGGGTCATTTAAACTATCGGAGCATAGGAATTTAGCCAAGTGTAGAATTATAAACCCGAATGACATCAATAATCTCGAACACAGCTCGGCTATCGCAATGCATGCGTTAACACACAACCACACAATAGGGTGGGATAAAACCACTGTACTTATGTCCAATACAATTAGGTGGAGAGAGACAGATTGATGACTGAATCTCTGTTCACTGAATCTATACACAAAAAATGTAATAGGAACGACACAACACATATACCAAAGATTTGAAAACTTTACTACCATTAAAAACAAAGAATGTGAGGCGACAGGACTATAAAAATCAGATGTCGAAGTTGTGTGAGTACACTGATATAATTATTATCAGCAATTTATACTCCAGACATCAAGTAAATAATACTGTATTACTGTGTGCTATTTCAAGTAAATAAATCTCATGTAGAATTACATTTACCATAGTGTCCAAATTTCACACCTATACAAAGGTAGCAACTTCACTTAAAATGTATGTTAATGATCCAATGAACGCGACAGAAATTCGATTTCAAAATTTTGGGTTTCAATACAACTTCTTAAAAATTGTATTTAAAAACACTTAAATTGTTAATTAAATTATAAAAGCACCCGGGAAGTCTGTTCATTGTGAGACACTCTAACTAAGCAATTACAAACGACTGGTTTTTAAAATTGTCATAATTACAATTATCTCCATTGAACAAACACTGTCACAGTTTCGTTTCGATGATGAATGACGCTATTTGATGTTATTTTTTTAATGTTTGTGATATCACCCTTTTTGTAGAGATGATGTGAGGATGACATCTGGAGGAACACTATAAGCTAGGATAGTGAAATTTTAAGATACAAGAGAAGAACAACCATCAAGAAACCATATTTTAAGCTTTAAATACCGCCAGTGCACGAAGTAAAACGTTTCAGTTATAAGGCACTTTTTCTCGGGATTTTAACTCTGTCAACCAATTTGTTTACCCATGATTTGGTCTGTTTTTAAATTTTTTTTCAAACCTTTTCAAAGTAAGAAGTTACATTTGAAAGCTTTTACCTACTTTGACTTCTTATCACCCAAGTCTCATTTCATTTTTGTTTTCGCTATTTTCAAAAAAATGTTTCCTAGCTGACTTTTAGTGATATCAGTTGATTAATACACTTGCTTTTACCTGCAATTCAGTCATCAATTTCGGTTGAAGATAACCTTATTTTCAAATTTTATTTTCTGCGTTTTTCTGTATTATTTCGTTCTCATCACAAAATTCTCTCGGATGCACGGTTTTTCGTTTGATCTTCAGATTATTTTGTTTCACATATTTTTTTCAGTTTATGCTTAATTATTTTTGTTTGCTCACTACTCTTGCTGCCTAGCTTATTTGTCTGACAAGCACAGTTAATCAAGGGTAATCTCCAAGTCTTCCAGGTCAAATCATAAGTGAGGGGATGTTTCATCAACTATCGCAACTGAAATTCAACATTCTGGAATCAAAAATCAAAATTATATTGTAAGAATATTGAAGCTTGTGTCATTTTCACACTTCCTTCAGATAAACTTAGCAGCATTATGTCTGTCGTTATGTATACCATTTTATAGTCATCAGACTGAAACCTTGTGACTGAAATTATTGAATTTATGCAGCGTAACACTACTTGTTAATAATTATAATGTTTCTTGGCTTATACGTCACACTTCATTTTTATTATTTGGATAGTTCCTACAGTCATTTACACTTCTGACTTTACGTATGGTATTTCAATGTGTTCAGATACAAGGAAATGAAATCAGTAGATCATTATCTCACGAAGGCCTTATCTCCCACAGTTACGATGACCTCCTGATTATCCGTAGCCATTTAGAGATGACTTTCGGTCAAGATCGGTGTTTTCTTGAAACCAATGTGATATTTTGTTTTTTCTTGCTACCTACTTGCAGTTTATCTATGAAATTTATGCCAACAGCGTGTATTAGAAAGTCTTAGTTACTAAGGGGTTTTGCCTAGTCAGGGCATTTTTATGTTGCTGCATGTCACCGAATTTATCTCTCATTGGTTAGTTCTTTCTTAAGACCCACGTGAAATTTTAACGTAGCTTCACTACATAGACACCTCCCCTTCAAGTCATACAACACCTGATGATTCTCAGAAAACGAGACCTCTTTGACGTAACTTCATTCACATCTTCACGTAGACAAAAACTGACCAGCCTTTTGAACTTACAGGCATGACCATTACTATCCACTCATTTCAATAAATGAGTTCTCCAAAGAACAATTTGCAGTTTAACAAACCTGGACGGAATATAATTTCTTTTCTAGACTTACAGTATGCTTATGTGGTAAGTCAAAGTTCCAAAACCCACAAAATTTTTAATAACTTATTTGCCTAAATGTTTCTTGGTAACCTCCTATTACAAACCTAGTCTGTGTGTCAAGGCCGACATTTCAGACTTGCCTAAGGAAAACTAATTATGCTGCGTTTTGTAGAGAGAGTCTTTGTAATTGGAGCAAAAAATGTACTCACAGACAATGATTGGATATGTTTACAGCTGTGACTAACTCGGTCAACGCAAATGAGTTAAAGATTAAAGAAACGGTAGAATGAAACGTCGCTCCTGGGACGATGAATTCTCAGTTTCAATCCATTTTCAGATCGATATCTCCTTTTTTAGCATATCGGAATGTCAAACATATAAAAGTCGAGTATTTGAATTATTATTGCACAGAAAATAGCTTTGGTTTCGCTTACAAAAGCCCACTGACGTCTCTTATCTTATTAATTCTAGTTTTCTTTTTAAATCTTTTATTCAGTCCCATCACAACCTCGTGACTTCATCGGTTTAAGCTTTAATCCCAAGGAAATACACTTAAGTTGGACAGCACCTAATCTTCCTGTGAAGACTAAACTACAAGATTATTTATTAAAGTATCGTTTGGCTGCTGATGGCACTTCTAATAGAGAAGAACAGCAGCAACCTATGGATATAAAGCTGTCTCCTGACCTTACGGAGTATCTTATGGAAAACCTAGTCCCAAATTCAACATACCACATTTCTTTGGCTGCTCGTACAAAATTTGGCTCTGGGATAGCAGCACAGATAAAAGTTCAAACTGACAGTAACGGTGAGTTAAAAGTCCCTTTTAACCTGATAAAGGTAGGGTCCAGCAACTATATAGCCAAGACGCTTTACAAAACGATGAAATGCCTTCTTGTAGAGATACCATCACTGATGAACAATTCTGCTTTTTTCTGAACAGTTTTTGAGACACTTATTTGGCTTCCTCTATGAAACCGTTGACAATGAATAAACTCACAGTCAAAGTAGATTTTTCTAAATTCCTTTTGTATTAAAAAATTTACTTAGATTTGCATAGATGTATGATAAATCAGAACAATTACTCTCCCAAATCACTGTGGTTTAGGAAGGTTTAAGCAAACCGAACTACTGTTTCAAGTGATTTCAGGCTGGCTTCGAAGTGGATTTTTCTGTCTCCTAGTCAGCATGAAATCTTTTGACATCCGAATCAAGATAAAATAGATAGTTGTCACTGTTTCTTACTTCAGATCATGTTGCCTGCGCCTACATACAGGAATTATGAAGTGATCGTTGAAATGCATTGTATTTTGAATCTATTCTATTGAGTTCTAAAAGGCAGTTCATTTTTGATTAACTCCTCCCATAGTTTAAAAGAGCATTTGAAAAGCTTGCGCAACATAGGTGACCCAAAACTTCAGTATTTAATACAGATCCTTACTTTGATATTTTATGCATGAAAAACGAAATGAAAAGGTTGTCAGCTAACTAGAGCTAGTTATTCCTTTGCATCCTACTGTATAGCACCTAAAATACCGAAAATACGGTGATATTGTTTATATATATGACATCAGTAGTGAAAAAAACAAATTTATGTATAGTGAACCAGAATAAATTCACTCCAGATATAATTCGCAGTAGCCATTATGAACATGGGATCTCACTCTGTACTGTACTTTCAGTAACCTAAAGAGTTCAAACTCCGTTTTCATTTCCCTATGAAGGGATTTTCCGTTTCCAAAAATTGTATAACCAGTAAAATGCGTTTATCAACCAGATATCATCACAACAGTTATGGAAGTAAATATTTTGTGCTTCAATGTGCTTATAACCATATGAATAATATAAGCGCACCACATAAACTGACATTTCAAATCAACCAAGGATGAGTACTTCATATTCACTTATTCCACTGACGAATGGACGAGAATAAACCCTAGATCAAAAATGATCAAAATACTTTGTTCTGTGATAATATGGAAATTATTTTATATTTATGAAACTATTCAATAAGTGCCTTAAACGTCAACTCAAAAAAATCATAATTTGTCTTCATTGTTGGCTTAGACAGCACTCAAATACTCTTTACACAGGTAACACCCAGAGAAGTGGAGGGAAATAAACCACATACTCGTTGAGTCAACATATCAAATCAACTGGCGAAACCTCTTTATTCCAAACCATCTGGATGAGTTTCCCGACGCAGTCTAAATGAAGGTTCTGAGGGTTCATGTGACATGGTTAGAACACAGTGTATTAGAGTAGAAGCATCACCATTTGCCTCTCATCTAAATCCTGAAACAGTTTTTATTACCTCTGCCAGCGGATAATTCCATTTTATTATTGCCATCTCCTTTAGTGATGCAATCATTATTTTCGTTTCTACGTTTTCCATCCTATTCTTTTTCCGACAATGAGAAAACATGAAACTGTTGTAGCTTGAACCGACACCGATTCGTATCATGTTCTACATCATTTCTGTTTGTTTATTCTTCCATAAACCGACAACTTTCTGATACGTTAAGATCAGCACTCTTTAAACAGTAAAACAACATAAGTTTCAGATCTCAGAAATAAGTATGAACTTTTGATAGTGAAAATATTAAATATTTTATTTCTCTTTTCTCTCTGCCCTCTTTCCTATTACGTAAACAAAACAGAGATTGTAATCATTATAGCTAAATAGGGCAAATATAATTTCTGTGACCTTTCATAATGTTGAAAATAAACAAGTGATTAGTGTATACTAGGTGTGAGTATGTTGAAAATGTCAATCCAATGTTGTATCATATTCATTTTACACTCCAAATACATTTGCTATAACTGTGAAGGTCACTCACAGGTTTTTCAACATTAAACACAGTATTTATGCTTACACAGCGTTTTATTCCCAGGTGAAATCAAAAAACATACGAACCTTATTTGACCTTTTAAATGGTTCCCCGTTGGATAATATAAATAAACATGTATACAGAACTCACTTTCCAAAATGTGTGTCATATATCTGCTGTCCATAATAATGCGTGCCTATCAAATTAAGAGGAGTTTGAAACTAGTCCCAATATTTTTTTATGGGTTAAGCTACTCTATCGCAGTCTATTTGAGAAGTATAACTTGAATCATTTCAGTCATTACATCAGGCGAACAACGATGTTTGATATCAAAAAACTGCTAAAGTGCACTTGAAATCATTCTCAGTCACACTGACAAACTGAGGAGGTCTTCTGCTTCCATGTTTGAATTGGGAAAATAGAGCCAGTGAGATAACATTCAGACAAAGCAAATAGTCTTGTTATCTGAATGTTATCAGATTACTTTTTCAAGAACATTAGTTTCTCTACTAGTTATTCTAGAAGTTCTGGTTAAATCAAAAGTGTTACTTGACAAGTATCACCAAGATAGTACGATTCAAACCTAAAAATAAAAAAAAATTAGTTCTAGATTTGATTGTGACAAATAAGTCAGGCAGAGCTTCACAAGTTTAGGTACGTTTCCAACTGCTGCTTTTTTACTTCTAAAATGTCACTTGAACTCCGAATATGGACTGACCTTACAGACATTTCTTATCATGAAGTATATTGAATAAAGTGAAGATTTAAGATGAGTACTTTAGGAAATTCTCATAATAGTTGGTTTTCTCATCACATTGCCACAGAATGACCATGCGGAGATAAAAAACTACACATATGAAACCTGTTATTTGGCACTTTTGTTTCTTTTTTTATGTTACAGACTACCACTTTTAGGTACTTTAGGGATAAATAGTTGCTTCTATTATACCACAGCGTAAAAGTCAACAGATCATATGATTACAACAGTTAATCCTAAGAATATACAGCTCGAAGACAAGCCTACTTCACTGTCTTATGAGGTATGCCTTCCAAATATTCACTAATATCCAAAAGACTTTGCGACGAGTAAAATTAATGGAAAGAAAGAAACCTAAGTTGAGGATAATATCAAAGACAGTGTATTATATACTTGTCAAAAATGTGTTATAAGATGACTGAATATAGTGTCGGTACAATTTACTAGCTGAGACGTTACACGTGTTAGCTTCTTTAAAATGAAAATATCTGGAATGTATGCATGAATCGCTACTCTAAAACACACAAATTAGAATTTGCTTTTTCAAGTCTTTTCAAAACTGACGTCTTTAGTATAATTGCTTGTATTATAACGTCGTTAACTGGACCGAACTGATCAGTCTCTGTTGGCATATGTGCTCCTGTGCGGATGCTTCGATGTTACCTGTGTTCTAATTACAGTACGGACGAGTCCCAAGTAGGACAAAGTGCGCATCATGGATTCAATTACTAGCCACTATTCATCATTACTGACAAGTCTTTGTTACGACTCATGTTAACTGTAAAATCACAGTGCAAATTTACCATCTCGTAGTTCACTAGTATTCATAATCAGTGAAACTAACACTACTCAATTATTCACGACTTCTGAAACTGTATTATAAAAATGCATGTAAATGTACGAGGAAATGAATAAAAACATTACCTTATGTAAGGACTCGGAAATTGTTGTTCAGTAGTGCTCACTAGTTCCTTCCTAATTTACTCATCATGACATGAACACTACTAAAACGGTTCTCAAGGGTTAGTGGAATTCTCTGTTTGAAACATGGCATTTTTATCTTATAACCAGCATGGTAAGTATGGCATTTTCTTTGCCAACTTAACACACAGATAGTATTATGGTTGTATTTGTCCTTTCAAAGGTACTTGTAGCATTACCTCATCAATTATGTAATTCATAATCAGAAGCACAGAATCACTTGTCGTTCTTTCGAGAGATATTTTAAAGGAGATTTTCGGTAACCAGCTTCAACGTTTAAACAGACCCTACAAGAAATTTAGGTAGGGAGAAACTGCAGAAAGGTTACCATATCTTAGCTGCATTTTAGAACCTGCGTAACATTTATTGGTCACTGATAATTGTATTTTAACACTCACTAATTTACAAAACTGAACTGATTGATCCCTGTCGGTATTATTGTCCTTTGAATGCCATTTGAAGTTTCACTATCACTACTTTTGGTTGTTCTAACCAGCAGAGAAAATTTAAAACGTGTGTCTCATCCTCTTCTTGTCTTGTCTGTTGGATGCATATGTGTCCGACTATTTGATGGTGCTGCCGCTATTCTGGAACCAAAATCTAATCACTCTAAATGGATTATCATTATCGATAAAGTAACTGACTTACGAAAGTCACCACTTATGCAACAGGTATCATTTTTATTTATGAATACTTGTAATTTATCACTTATTCTAGTGGACCGAAATGATCAGTCCATATTGGTATATGAGTTATTTAAAAAAACTTCTCAATAATCCTTTACTAACCTAGTCCATTAGACTTTGGAGTTTACAGTGGTGGGTGCTCCCCTTAAGTCTCTAATAATACACGAATATACATTAGTGCATTCGACTGACGAATCTCAAGAAGGAAGATAAATGCATCCCTAATTCCGCAACTAGCCACCACAAAGTAAACTGTTTTATAGCAGATCATACGTAAGGTTTTAAGTGAATTTTCTGAGCTATTAAAATGTTAAAAATATGATGATTTTCGCAAGTTATCCACAGTTTATGAACAAATTGTAACAAACAGTTGCTTGTAAATTAGTTGCAACTAGTAATTACAATTTATTTGGAATTCTTTATTGTTTTCTTTAGTCCCAGGAGCACCGATTCTACATGAACTCAGCATCTTGGATTCATTTAGTATACGCATTCGATGGTTAGCACCTCATGGAGTTTTAGACAATATTAATGTTTCACAGCATCTTCGTCTATTGAGTAATTCGCTATCCAAGGCTGAAAGGCCATCAAAAGTCCTACATTATTTAATACAATGGTCAGCTTTTCCATTTACAGACTGGGAACAAAATAAGGTATCTATTAATTATTTATACCCTGCGCAACAAATTTACGAGTATATCATCCATGGCCTTTTATCGCGTACTGCATATCGTATTAGAATAATGGCTGTTGGGTCAGAAGGAATGGGTCCTGCCCTTGAATTAGGCCCAATTAAAACTAAAGGTCAAGGTGAGTCATTGTATAAATTAAACAAAACAATGTTGTTCGATCAATAGTTTATGTGTTTTATAGAAAGGTTTCCTAATGAACGAGAAAATTAACACTTGAAATTCGCCGAACAAAGAATATTATGTTTTCAGTCTAAGATCTAATTAGTATAATATACCTAATATTTAGAGGAAATGAACAATTTTGAGTCAGAAAATGTGAAAATTTGTCAAAAAGATATTTTAGCAAACAAATGAATATAATTCTCATATCAGTTGTGAACTTCCTCAACTCATCGTATCAAAAATCAACTGTGTTACTCAAGGATTTTAAAAACGGTCAGTGTACATGAAGGTTGGTATTTGACCTGATAGCAAGTCGACAGTCCTCAGCTAAAGGGAATTATAAGCATGCTTTTCCTAACAATTTCAATATCTTGAAGACGATTTTCTCTTAGGAAAACCTAAGTAGAAACTATTAATAAGGAGATTAAACACTAGGTCTAATGCATGAAAGTGGAAAGTTTTGTTGGCATTTATCATCGATGAAGTCAAGCTTGAGAATGTGAATTTTCCGTCAGCGTACTTTTAGGTTAGTGTGTCAGTGAGTTATTAGATTTAAACCGCAATTTGTAGTTTGGACTGACCGACAATATTGCTTGAAGTAGTTGGATTTCTTATGCTTTTATAGTGCTAAAAACTCTTGTCTGAATACTACAGATGTCGGTAACACTATGCATAAAGTTACATTTATAAAACTTAGCTTCTGTGTTTTTCATCTGGTTACTAGAAGGTTGATGCATATAGCTCACATATCCCCTAGTGAAAAATCAGGCATATAAAGGAAGTGCTCTTGGCATAATTTGCATCATGGTATACGCACCTTAACTTTAGGTCTTCATCCTCTGTATAGGTAAAGAAAATTTTGTCAATAAATTCATCGGATTTCAAAATATTTCACAGACAAATAAGCAGCCAAAACTCCATTCTTGGAATGCAGTGCGTGTCGAGTTGTTCCACGAAAGTAAAGTATAGCTGTAGTATGAGTATATAAACTGGGTTCTGATTTCATTCCGGATATTAATGTAGATACGTCGAATGATATTTCACGAATATTTATCAAATTATTTCAAAAATGACATATTTTCCCGTCTTTACTGATCATCTATCTATTCAGTCACCTGCTTAAATGAGTCAAGGATGCAATTTTGAACGAGGCAGAAACTGAGCTTATCAGTTGACCTTGAGATTGATTTTCTAAGAAGTAGTCTGACTACTATATTCTTTTCCTTATTTGCTGTCTAAACGATTGTTCAGTTGGATCAATATATTATTTGTATGCATACCTGTGTCCACTACAAGACTATAAAAGATTAAGGAAGTTTATTTGTTTTGAACCATTGAATAGCGTTTCATTGACAAATGTTTGAGAATGAAATGGTATAAACAACAGGGTTTCTGATAAGAAATGAGTGAAATATTGTGCATGTTCACAAAGTATTATCTTCATAGAATGTTTATAAATATTGGCTTTCTGAGATCAAATAATTTCATTGTTTCACATAAAAGTCGAATAAAAGATTCTTCAAAAAATAATCATAATATGAAAGTTGAGTAAATGATTGAACGTTAAACGAAAACCTGGTTTGTGGCTAGATTCAATCTGTCAACCTACCACTCTCAGAGATAGTCTAGCTAACAGTATATGAGTGGAGTGCAAAACGAACTTGTTGGCACGATCTTGGTTTTCTAAACATTACTGTGATCGTTCAATGTAAAACTACATATTAACAGTTGTCCTATGATTTTCGTGTAGTCTGCCATGCAGTATGGGGCAGAAAGGTCAAGTATAACATCATAATTATTGCGTAATTGTGTATATGCGCAGTGGCAGGTACGTTGTTGATGTGCATGACATTAAAATAAGTAGTATGTGTGGTGGCTACCCATTGATGACCAAGTTGTGTACATGATAAGGTCTTTCAGAGGGCCTATCATGACTGGACGGCTTGGTCGTTGAATATTTAACTTCAGCACTGAGCGATGCAAGTTCGAAACACTAAGTGAAGGCTAGTTTTATCAAAGCTGCAGATAAACCTTGCTGATGAGTGTCAGCTGACTCAAAACTTAAGCCTTGACCTTTCTCACGACTGAATCTCAGAATTTAGCATCAATATTGCTAGATTTCTCTTGTATTATTTCTCAGATGGGGTAGAGAGTATGGATGATAATAATCATAACTTTTACATACTTCAGTTGCCACTTTTGCATATCTTTACCAGTGACTTGACATAGCCTGAATAATTGAATGTGTAAACGCTTGTTCCGATAACTTCAGATCCCACCCTTAATGGTTACTCAGTTTCTCCGTAAATAGAAAAGACGGTAATAGGACAAAATGTTTATTTACGTCTCCGGCAATGTCAACAATATATACAAAATATAAGGTTTATACACATTAAAATGGCCTTGGCTACTTCCATGCCTGAGAGATTTAAATTTTATTGACTTTTCATCTTTTCAGCTAACCTGAGGCCTACACTTTGTTTCACGTTTTTTTTTCGAAACTTTGAAGCAAAGTGAATGGTTGAAAAAAGCTTTAGGCATACAAGGCTTCTAATGAAGATTTTATCAATCTTTCTGTACACTATATCAATGATACACCGGTCCAAAACAATGATCAGTTTGAAAAATGACTTACAAATTACACGATGAATGTTACCATTTCTAACAGATCATCCTATTTTAGACACACCGGTCCTTGCAGGTTAGTTGGCCAGATTAAGGTGGTCTGAACTAGCTTCAGGTGCACCACTACTGAGCTCGGCCCAAAACGAGCGAAACGGCCGTCCGGTGTTTGAATCACTCTGAACTGACTGAGGAAATACTACATATCAGCCTGAATGGCTTCTAACTACTCACGTTGTTCAGTAGTAAAAATCTTCCACCACAAAGCAGTCCAGATCGCGTGCTCTTGTTGACTGAATAGATCATGAAACAGTGCTTTCAATGAGAGTGGGTGTAAAAATCTTTTCTTAATAACAGGTAACTACCAGGAAGAAATCGATAGGACCCCACGTCGTCTGTTAAAAGTAATAGGATTTTCCCATATATATATATATATATATATATATATATATATATATATATATATATATATATATATATATATATATCGAAACCTTACCGTAGAACTTCGACTCCACAATAACCAATCTTGTGTCTTATTCCTATTGGATGCAATGCCATTTTTCATTTCTTTTCCAGTTATGTTTATGACTTTTGAGAGATCCGTTGGAACTATATGTGTTTCTGCGGTCAAACCTCTGCATATATGAACATTCTTCCTGGATATACTGTATTATTTCCAGGGCATTTTACTTCACAGACAGTTTTCTACTTATCTTCACTCTGCGTTATAGCCTCAAATTTCATCACTTTAGAACTTAAAGTATTGGTTGTATGAAAACGAATCTAAATATTTGATCAGTAAGTATCTTCACTACTATTTCTTTCTAGTTACTTCGTGAAATATAAAATACCTGAGCATTAGTCAAGCCCTTCAAGGGAAATCTTGATAGCTATTTAAATTGTGTTTCGTCTCTAAATTCTTTTTTCAAAAACTTCGAACGTAAATATATGTTTCACGCTTACATCATTTGCTATTGAAATAAAACATTTCGCTCTCGAAATCAGACTTAGTCACTAGTAATTGAGATGGCTGTCGTGCCCAGTTGGTCTACTAGGTAACGCTTTGGCGTTTAAAGCAGTGAGTACTGCGTTTCGGTCTCAATGAAAACAATACCACTTACCGGGGTGCGGGTACGTTTAGCTGGTGAGTCTCAGATAGGACGAAGTGCGCTTCCTAGATGCTACTCCAATTGTCTAACTGACTACAAAAGATTAGCAGATTTATAACTCAAAAATCTGCGAAAATATGCTGGTTTTCTGAAACTACTCAACTTTACTTTTCTGCAGTCCTTAGCGCATATAGTTTACAGTAGAAAATTTGTAACTTTGGATTCAGTGTCTTAGAAAAAAAACGATGCTTTTCGATACATTACTCGTTTTGTATAAGTTCATGCAAATTGTTACTTTCCATGATAACAAAAATACTATCTGCATGCCTGAACCAAACTCTAAAACGAATAGAATATTCTACGATGCACCAGTATAATATAAAAGAATGAAGAAATTAGTGTGTAAGAGACTAAAGGTCTCGCTTCTGTAGCATATGTTGTGCTTATGAATCCTTTATGAATGTGAATATTATGATGGTAAACGTTAGTTGAAGACTTTTAATTTCTTTTTGAATCTAATGTGGGAAATAACCGTATTTCGATATCTGATATCATTATATCAGAGAAAATTGCTTATATGTGACATTCATTCGTATTCATAAAATCAGATGACTTAGTACGTAAATGAAAAACTAGACAAACTGAATAAGTATTCTGTATCACAAGAGGCTTGTAAATAGTATGCAACTAAGTTTAATTATATCATCATCTTCACTGACTGAGTTATTATATTTCATTCAGTACAGTGAACTTCAAGGATTTGAGTTTTGTAAACACTACACACCTGTTTCTATGTATTATTTAAATATCTTCTTTAATTCAAATCTTGCCGTAAACCAAGTTTTCATTTCATCTTCAGTCATCACAGAGCTTCAACATCTTTTTCAAGTAATTCTATAAGTCACTGGTCTGTAGTGTATTAAGTGAATCTAACTTTTCACAGTAACAAGTTTATTGGAGCCTTAAATACGATCGCTTTGTTAAGGAATTGGAAATGTTTTGTTTTACTCCCACTGTACTAGATAGCCTAACAACATAAACACAGTTCCTGGTGAACATTGAGTGGGTTTACAGAGTACGAAGGGGATTATTTCAAAGAAAAAAGTTAAATGAAACAAATTTAGTTTGTATTAAATTTACATTTGTAAGTTTCAGTAATGAGAATTTCATGTTTCGTAATTGTAGAAGAAGAACAGTAGGTTTGCCTCATGTTCATAACACC